AACTTACTTTTATTTATTTTTTAATTAGATATATTAAATACTTATATAAAAATAAAATAATATATTTTTAAATTATATATAAATTATTTTTTTAGTTTTATTTTTATATAAGTATTTAATATATCTAATTAAAAAAATAAATAAAAGTAAGTTTCAACTTTCTTATTTGAATTCTGTTTAATACATTTTAATCATGATTTATAATATATCTTATAGTTTTATTATTATTTGTTAATTTTATTTTTTAAAAATTGATTCCTATACACATGAGAATGAAAAAACCTTTCATTTTCTAAGGAATGGCTAATCCCATCCAGATGGGTTTTGCCATTCCCATTGGGATAAGGAATGAGTATGAGAATGATAATTCCATTCACATGTCATTCCTTCCTACCAATCATGCCATAATAGTTTCCATAATATATGGTTTAGGTGAACTAGTTAATTTCTATCATATGCACGCTCGTTGAAAAAACACTTATTATAAGCAAAAAAGGACTTTGGTTTTTATAATGTAAGGTTCACATTCTAATCTGACGCCATGGATATAATTAGTCAGGAAGATGGTATGATCCTACTAAGATCATGTACTGAAAAATGCATGCAAGTGTAAAATTGGACATTGAACTTTTAATAAATAGGTAGTTAATTATTTGTAGATCTATGGACAAAATATATACCAGAGTCTATCACGCCAATAATAACGTTTTCGCCATATCTGGATTTCAACCACAAGTTGTCATTGTCTGCATTCCCTTGTGTTGGCTCGTGTAAACCTGAAAATTCCCATGATCTCGTCGTCTGCAATGATATCTTACGTCCGTGGCTCTGAAAGACAGACGTCACATTCTCCATTTCTGTTTAAATTTCACACCAATCACCTCTCATTCAAATTAACGTACAAATACTAATATGAATGTCTAAGTATATATTCATTTTCTTGCTCACCGGAAAGTTTATGAGCTTCGTGCGGGTTAAGTAGTGCCGCAAAGCCACTAATTTTCTTGTAACTATAAATAAGAGAAGATTTTGCGTCGTCCTCATTTTCCTTCACAGACAATAGATACGAATGATGGATATCTTCGATTTCTTCGGGCGTTTTGTGATCAAGATGCTCTCCGAGGTGTACTATGTGTAGCTGTAATAATATTAAGGAAATTAATCTCTATTTAATTTGCATATGCCATGGAGTTGGAAATGTGATATACTTTTAATATAAGGAAAAAAAAAATTAATATAGAAACAATTACATTTTTCTCCTGTGTAACTGAAGCCATGAGAAGAAATAGGAGGAGGAGGAGGAGAACAATGGACAAGGCAATATTCTCCATAGGAAGAGCTTTGTATAGGGCACAACACATTGATATATTGTGCCCTTAAGCATATATTTATAGGGAATTTCATGGTTTAGAGCCATTGTTAAAGTCCAAAAAGGTTAAGAGTACTAATACTTTGGCGTGTATAAAAGAGGAAGTCACATATTCTAAAGTGAGTAGTGACTTTGACCGATGGATTGGAATGCAAACCATCTATATAGATGCATTATGCATTACAGGTTTTTGCCAATCCTAATTGGTTGTTTAGTAAATGAACTTTTTAATTAGTTTAATAACCTAGAATACTAATAATTTTCTGTTTCACTTACAAAAGTTAGACATTTAATATAAGCTATATTTAACATTAATTTGCATAAATAATTTATGTGCAAATTGTGTTATTAGTTAATTAATAGTGACATTTATTTTTTTGGCCCCCTAAAGGCATGTAAGCATTCTATATGGACATCTCTAAAACATTAGAAATTGAAATATAGGATTATAGAGCATCAAATTTTGACATATAGGATTACGAAGCACCAAAAGTTGACAAATAGGCTCGGGAAACATTAATATTACTATATATAGAGAGAGAGAGATTTAAATTCTTATATTATTGCTGAAAATTTGGCATAGGACATATAATCTTTTTATGACATATTTAAGTCAAAAAGACGGATTTTGCGTGATAAATAAAGATTCCTTCATTATAGCAAAAATAAAATAGTATCTACCTTTTATATTTATATATAAATATAATACAAGGTATTCTGAATTTATGTGTCTAACTTATAATGATTCTTTCATTTTAGAAAATAAAAATAATAATAAAGCTTATATATATATAACTATAGAGTTTCTCAAACCTACGAATCAACTTCTAGTGCTTCATAATCCTATGTATCGCGATTTATGATGCTTTTTAATATTATTTTTATATGTAAATTTTTGGTGCTTTGGAGTTCTCCATCTGGATTTGAACTTTTATCCATGCCTATTAGAACTTTTAAAATTATAAAACAATTGATCGACTTAAATTGTAAATATATTTTAAAATTTATTATTGCACATGTAAGAGGTTATATCTACCGTTATAAAACAAAAAAATCATCTATTATATCATATCGATAAATAATAAAAATATTAATTTATTAGTTAAATTTATCTATTAAGTCTCTTATATGATATGAGTTAGAAAAATTATTACAAAATGATAAAAACAATGAAAGAAATCTTACAGGCAATATGTGTCATTTAGAAAAAGTAAAAAATATTTTCTTTAAATATATTTTAAATTTTAATTAAAACTTCTATTTTTTTAATTATTTAATTAATACCCGTGTATGGTGTCGCAATAGCACTACTAATTATACAATAGTTGACATGTGATTTTAGAAACGTCAAAGTTCACTTGTTTACAAATGTCATACTTATTACAACTTTTGAATAGAAATTTCACAAGAAGATGGATATTGTTATAAAACTAGAGGGAATTGAGAATAGAGAAATTGTATTATTTTGGTGTATATTTCATTATAACTAAAACTCCTATTTATAGGAAAACTTCTAATGACATAATCGTAATAATACAATTACATCAAGAGCAAAATAGTCATTTACATATAATTTTTAAATCACCTCATGAGGTGCATGCACATATTTTATAATACTCCCCCTTGAATGACTATTTTCTAAATATCATTATTCGAATAAAACATAATCTAAACATCTTGAAGTGTATCTTGTGACCATCAAATACTGCTGCTTCAACATGTCAGTAAAAATAGCTGGGATAAATCCTGATCATTGTGGAAACACAACATTGCTCCCCCTCAAATAGATTATCTTTATTGGAGTATTCCATTGTTGCCTCGTTAAAACCTTGTCAAGAAAACCCATTGGGAAAAACTTGATCGAAGGAAAAAGAGTACAACTACTCCAAATCATATCAATTATCCATTAATCCTCATTATATCATGAATATGTCTCGTTAAAAACTTATTAGGAAAAACTTATTGGGACAAAATCCTAATGAAAGAAAAAGAGTACACTATTCATGTGAATATACCATCTTTGTTGCCTCATTAAAAACCTTACTAGGAAAACCCAATGGGGCAAAACCTCAGCTAAGGGAAAAAGAGTACAACATTTTGTCTTCAGGACTTAATCTTCTGGATTATTTTGAGTTTGTCCCTTCCCTTGAAGACAATAATCTTCCTAGTTTACGCATACCAATACAATAAATGTATTTTTCAAAAGTAGATGTAGGAAGGGATTTGGTGAATAGATCTGCCAAATTCTCGCTAGATCTTACTTTTTGTACAATAATCTCACCTTTCTTCTGAAGCTCGTGTGGATAAAAGAATTTTGGAGCAATGTGTTTTGTCATGTTTCCTTTGACATACCCACTACTCATTTGTAAAACACAAGCTGCATTGTCCTCGTAAAGGATAGTGGGGGTTATATCATTTGTAATTCCACATGAATCACGAATATGTTGGATTAAAGATCTTAACCAAACACATTCTTTTGAAGTTTCATATAAAGCAATTATCTCTGAGTAATTTGAAGATGTAGTAACCATGGACTGTTTGACCGACTTCCAAGATATTGCAGTACCACCACAGAAAAAAACATAACCAGTCTGAGATCTGGCATTATAAGGATCAGACATATAGCCAGCATCTGAATATCCCACCAATGTCATATCTTGGTTATTTTTATAAAGTAAACCAAGATCTTGTGAACCTTGAAGATACCTAAAAATATGTTTAATTCCGTTCCAGTGTCTCCTCGTAGGAGAAGCACTAAACCTTGCTAGCAAGTTTACTGCAAATGCAATATCAAGCCTGGTGAAATTTGTAAGATAAAGTAACGCACCAATAGTGCTTAAGTAAGGAACTTCTGGTCCTAAATTTTCTTCAGTATCTTCTTTAGGTCTAAATGGATTCTTATCCGCTTCAAGGGATCGGACAACCATTGGAGTGCTAAGTGGATGAGATTTATCCATGTAGAATTTTTCTAAAACCTTCTCCAAATAGACTGACTGATGTACAAAAATTCCTTCAGGGAGATGCTCGATCTGCAGGCCGAGACAATATTTGGTTTTACCCAAATCTTTCATTTCAAACTCCGCCTTTAGGCATGAGCTAGCTTTATCAAGCTCTTCTTGTGTGCCAATTATATTTATGTTATCGACATAAACTGAAATGATACAAAAACCATTCTTTGACTTCTTTATAAATACAAAGGAGCACACATCATTATTTACATAATTATTTTTCAACAAAAACTCACTTAGTCGGTTATACCACATTCTACCCGACTGTTTTAAGCCATATAATGACTTTTGTAATTTAATACTATACATGGTGCGTGTTTCATTTCCCTTTATTTCGGGAACTTTTAATCCTTCAGGGATTTTCATATATATATTTGTGTCTAATGACCCATATAAATATGCGGTCACGACATCCATTAACTGCATATCTAAATTCATATTTACTGCCAGAGATATTAAATAGCGGAACGTTATTCCATCCATTACAGGAGAATATGTTTGATCAAAATCAATACCGGGTCTCTGCGAAAACCCTTGAGCAACTAATCTCGCTTTGTATCTCACCACCTCATTATTTTCATTTCTCTTTCGTACGAACACCCATCTATATCCTACTGGGATAACATTTTGAGGTGTGCGCACAATAGAGCCAAAAACTTTTCATTTATTTAGCGAGTTTAGTTCAACCTCAATTGCTTCTTTCCATCTTACCCAATCTGAGCGCTTCCAGCACTCTGCAATTGTTTTAGGTTCTGGATCCAGATTATTAGAGATGGTAAGAGCAACTATAGAGGCAAATGTGTCGTCGACGACTTTGTTACTTCTGTTATAAGTTTCTCCTGTATCAACAAAATGCATAGCTACTTCAATATTCACATCTACCAGATCATCATCATTTCCCAATATACTTTGATCTGGATGTTCCACAATCTTAGTATTTTTATTATTTGTTGCACGTGCATTTAAACTAGGATTTTCGCCTTCTGGACGATTCTCTTCTGGAGATTTCGGGAGTAATTCAACATTTTTATTAGATTTTATTTTCCGCGGATTATTATCTTTTGTACCAATGGGTCTCCCACGCTTCTGGCGTAGAGCATCTGTAGGAATATTATATTTACTGGGGACTTCCACTCGTTGTGGTGCATTTATGGAAGGTACATGTGATTTAGTCACTCCTTTATGATCAGTGAATGCATCTGGCAAATTATTTACTAAATATTGCAAATTAATTATCTTTTGAACTTCAAGTTCAGTTTGATTAGTGCGTGGATCTAAATATTGTAAATTTTGTACATTCCAAGAAATTTCTCGGCATTTATTTAAGTTTGGACTTTTATCTCCTCCTAATGCCGGAAAATTCGTTTCATCGAATATGCAGTCAGCGTATCGAACTGTAAATTGATCCCCAGTCATGGGTTCTAGGTATTTAATAATAGACGGAGATTCATATCCAATATATATACCTAGCTTTCGATGAGGGCCCATAGATGTACGCTGTGGTGGTGATATAGGAACATATACTGCACAACCAAATACTCGCAGATGGGAAATATTAGGTTCTTTACCACGCACTATTTGTATAGGGGAGTAATCATGATATGCAGTAGGTCGGATTTGAATTAGGGCCGCAGCATGTAAAATTGCATGTCCCCAACATGAAATTGGTAAGTTGGAATTTTGTAGTAATGGTCTAGCAATTAATTTGATGCGCTTAATTAATGATTCGGCTAAACCATTTTGTGTGTGAACATAAGGTACCGGATGCTCCACTTTGATGCCTAATGACATACAATAATCATCAAAAACTTTTGATGTAAATTCGTCGGCATTATCCATTCTTATAGTTTTAATTTGATAATCAGGAAATTGAGCTCTCAATTCAATAATTTTAGCAAGTAGTTTTGGAAAAGCCTGATTTCTTGTGGATAATAAACACACATATGTCCATCGAGTGGAAGCATCTATCAGGACCATAAAATATCGAAAAGGTTCTGATGTTGGATGAATTGGTCCACATATATCACCATGAATTCTATGAAGAAACATAGGTGATTCAACTACAACTTTAGTTCGTGAAGGTCTTAATATCAATTTTCCCTTTGCACAAGCATCACAAATAAATTCATTAAAAGAAGGGAGGCTGCTGTTTGATACGTTATGCC